TTTTAATTATTCTTTGGTAACTGTGAATCCTGGCACTAGTAAACCTAGACAACTGTAGCCATTTTCATGCTATCCTTATCTCTGATGGCAGCTGAAATGTGTTTATGCATCCTTGACACTAAGCAAATATTTGGCTTCTTTATTTCCTGTAAATTTGATCTTGACAGTTTTACAACATCAGTGGCATACCAACAAGGAATTTGTCCAATGACATCTGTGCAGTCTGTGTCAAGAAAATCCTCATGGATATAAAAAAAGAAGGGATCATTGAAAATACCTAACAGCTGTCCTGTAATCATGGACATCCTTTCCATGTAATTATGAAACCGTTGTTTTCTCCTCTTTTATGTTGTATTAAAAAATAATGATGACAATAAATACCAAGAAAAAGAAGGAACCAAAACCACATTCAGAAATAACATTGTGCAGAAGTAAGAATAGGAACACAAACTGTTTTTCAGTTCTGTAACACTAGCTGAGGCCATGCAGATTTCTGGCTGACAAACTGATGCAAGAGTGGCTATAATCCTATGGGTCAAGGTTAAAATCCACCATGCAGGTATTTGGTGTGCAGCCTTTGTGGGTGTGCCTGGCAGGACATTAGACCAGGCATGCTGACCCAGGTCTGCTAATTCAGGCTCCACTCCTGTGTATTGCAGAGGATTTCCTCCAGCTGTGCCTGGGGCAGTTTGCCAGGTAGTTTTAAGGCAGATATGGAACCCTTCTCAACCAATGTCCTGTACCCTAGAGCCTGACAGAAGAGCCAGTGACCCAGGGATACCAAACAACTCCACACCTGGCATTTCAGAAAATCAAAATGAAAAGTATTGAATATGTGCTGGAACAATGTTACTAATCACCCACTTCTGCACGTCATAAAAGTATCCTGGCTCCCTGTGAGCTGGAAAATACAAATATCAGTCTGGATGTTCAGAACTTTGGATTCAGCTTTACAGTAACTCCAAATAGTCCAAATATATTAAGTGATTTGAAACTGCTTGGTTATAAAACCAGGCAGTGTCCACACTCAGTTTTTAAAATTATCTGCTGATGCTTTGGCCAGGTTTGCAGATGTAAGCGCTGCGTTTTTTTGCATTTGAAAGATGCTTTAACAATACACCTGATAGTGGGTTTCATGAATCCTTCATCCACAGCCAGTGCATTGTTGAAAAGAACCAAACTTGCCCAGACTGCCCTGAGAAAGCTGATTTGAAGGGGTTGTTAAGCAACCCAAACCCTCTGTGTAACGAGTGTGCTTTTCATCTGGGTTTTGTAAACCAGAGCCTGATTGCTTACTAATTCTTGTTTTGATCTGCAGCAGAGGGATGAGATGGCCACATTAAATGAATGGAAAACCTGTTATTATTGAGGAAAAATTATATTTAGGGAAGATGATAGTTCTGTTTGCCTTTACCTTATCTAAGACCCTGAGCAAGCTAGGAAAAGTACATATATATTTTGCTTCTTGATCTCAAGACATCCAGAATTAATTTTTATAATGAGAGGAACATTATAAATCACAATTTTAGAAAGACCATACAGTGCATTTTGTTCTTTAACAAAATTTTTTTAAAAAATTATGTAATGCACTTCCAGAACAAGCTATCTTTTCCCTTTTAGTAGTTAAGAAACAAGATTTTTCCTTTAGCAAGTAAAAAAATACTTTAAGATCTGCTGCTGTATCTGTAGAAAACTGCTTGAGTTTTGCAAGCAAGGTTTGGCTTATTTTCTTGGAGCCTATTTTAACTGTAGGATATTTAATTTTAACCTTACCTCTAAAAAAAAAAAAAAAAAAGAAGAAAAAAAAAAAGAAAAAAAAAAAAAAGAAAATAAA